TTTATGATTCTATTTAATACTGATTTTAGTACCTTATATAATCCTCTTCCTTGCTTATCTACGTTCCATCTCTTTTGCCATTTTTCAATTTTTTTACTCTTATAAGTGATTCAACTTTCCCTTTCCCAAAAGGAATTGTAATTGCTATTGTTCCCTCTAAAGCCCTTTTTACTAATATATCTGCTTTTTCATTGTCTTTTACACCTTCATGTGCTGGAGCCCAACATAACCAAATATCAACGCCATCCCTAGATAATCTAAATAGACTGTGCTGGATTTTTAATATTAAATCTTTTCTATAATTTCCTTCTCCCTGAATGCTTTCTAAAGCTGCTCTGGAATCTGTACAGACCACCATCCTGTCTGGTCTAACCTCCTCTACCCATTGTAAGCTTAGTATAACTGCCACCATTTCTGCTGGGTTTCTGAACTTCAGTTTGCTTCTTTATTTTATGTCTTTGATTACTGGACAAACTGATTAATCCAGGTGTGTCTGATCTCGGTAACCATGACAACATTAGCCAGACACACCTGGATTAATCAGTTTATCCAGTAATGAAAGACAGGAAGCAAAGAAGCTGGCTGAAATCATGGAAGTGATGGAGTTTGGCGTATAGTCCATTTCCCCTCCAGAACACTAGGTGGCGTTAGACTCATTCCTCCAGAGCGCTTCATAGCCAGAGAATGATGCCTCCAAAACAGGAATTTGTGTGTATGACGGTTTGCTTTCATTTTTTCCGTGCACTACTAGGCTAGTTTTATAAACGTTTCTTTCCCTAACCGTAATAACTGGTGGAGCAGGAAATATGAGCAGGTACCGTGACGCCTGATGGTCCTGGGTTTCTAAAAAATCTACAACTTGAGGTGAGTTCACTTTTTTCTTGCTAAATTCATCCATTTGGGCAATTAACTTGTCATTTGATTCATTCCACTTTGTGTACGTTGTTTTTAAGTTGAAATTAATTCACTTTAGCCGACATTGTTCCTGTAAATACGTTAATTTTCGAATGACTGAAAAATAAACAAGCCCGCGTGCGTTTATTTAGTTGTTTATATTTAGACGCCAATGTACCTTGATTATTGTTAAATAACCTCAACTGTAAACATCAACAGATGAATACTTTGTTGGCAGAGTAAGGCAACATATTTAGAACCAGCTGGTTAGTAATTTCCTCCTGCATTTATAAAGCTGTCTGACAGGTAAATGAAACTTATCATCATAAATGTGGCTTCTGTACTCATGTTCATCTAAGGTTAATCAGTTTTTTTTCATCCAATGAACTCAAAGGACATCCTTTCAATGACAGGACCACACTGAGCCATGAGAACCAGAGGTAACAATCCATCAACTGCAGCTTCTGAAGCTTTCTGTGGTTATTTTGTAGTTAAAACTTCTTTTAAATGTTGTCACATGATCCTATCCTTGCATTGTCTTTCAGGCAGGCCAAAAAATGAATCTAAAGAGATGGACGTCTGCACTAAGATCCCGTCTCCATCTGCAGAAGTGTCCATTTTCGATCACCTCCCCTCTCTCAATTTGTCCACTCTTAAATCTGTACCAAATACACCTAAGAGAGGCAGGGGAGCAAGGAGACAGATACAAGGAGGCAGCTTGACTTCAACACCTGTCCGTAACTCCTCCACATCCAGCACATTACCCTCCTCTACTGAAGCTGATGAAGAGAAGCTGGAGTTCACTGAACACATTACTCAAGCAAAGGTGAGGGGTGAACCTTGTTTTTTACAGACTGGTGCTTTCTCTTCAAATAAGCGTACTGTATACATTGGAAAAATGATGTAGAAATAAGTAAAGATTTCTTAAATTAACTGTATTTGCCCTTAATTTGAG